AATGAAGGAACAGGTCTGGGGAAGGTACAGGCCTGGGGTGGGAGCTTCTGTCCCATTCTGTCCCTCCATTGTATTCAGGAGGGCTGAATACAATGTGTGTGTAGAGGGTGTGGAGGACAGGCTGGAAATGAAAGACCGGACTCCCTGGTGGCGCAGGGGTTAAAAGGTCAAGCTGCTGGCAGCCACTGGATCATGAGTTCGATCCCCACCAGGGAGCTGACCCATGAGGCAGACCTCTCCTTTCTTGCCCGCTGCTCCTCTCAGCAGTGTGTTTCAGTCAGTCTGCCTGTTCTGTTCCCCACACTGTCTCTGGTGAGTCCCCTCAACCCTCTACAGCTCTGGTCTACACTCCAGTTCTTGTATGCATAAATAAAATAAATAAATTTCTAAAAGAAAATGAAAGGCAAAGGCATTGATCTATTAAGTGACATTAGACATTAAGTGACATTAGCTTTGTGAGGCTCGGTTTCTTCTCCTGGAAAAGGGGGAAACCAGGCCTACTTTGCTGACCGTTTGGAGCATGGAACAAGACGAAGCATGTCAACTTCCCTGCACACGCAAGTGTGCCCCTCGGTAGTTACGCGTACCATGACCGTCGGAGGGTACTGTCTCGTAAAACTTGTGTGTGGGTTTGTGTGTGTGTGTGAGTGCGTGCAGAGGTAATTTTGAGAAATCTGGGCGGCTCTGTTGTTCATCACTGAATCCCCAAGTATCTAGTATTTCTTTTCAGTACAAAGTGGGTGCTCAGTGTTTACCACCTGGGCTTTGACAGAGTGTGTGAGTGGGGTGAGGGCCCCAGAAAGAGGCTGTGTGGGCAGTATGGGTCGCCAAATAATATATGGGGCTCTGTGCAAAATGAAAATGCAGAGCCCCTAGGTAAAAAGTATGAAATTCACAATCTCCAGGGGGAGTAGCAAGCCTCTTTGAGGGGCCTTTGTGCCTGTGCAGCCTGCCCTAGTCTCCACTGACCCACGCTCACCCTAGCCCTGCCCTTAGGAGAGAGCCTCGGGGGCCCTGCCAGGGCCAGGGGCCCTGTGAGGAAGGGGAAGCGATGCTCATGTGGGCGGGCCAGGCGAGAGGCCCAACAACTGCAGACTTCTCCCCAGGGAGCCCCACACACCTCCCAGAGCTAGGCCCATGCCTGAGAGCAGCCGTTCAGGGGCTTCTTGTCTACCAACCAGGCCACTGGCTGGTCTGGGCACATGTGGTCACATTTAGATATTGACTGAAGCAAAATTGTTGTAAGACTTGAATATTTAAGGTAACTTCAATGTTCACTGCTTCACTGGGATTTTTGAGGCTGAGGCTGAGAATACTCCTGGGGTAGAAGTGAGGAGAACGGAGAGGACCACAGAGTGGTCTTCATTTCCTAGTCCCATAGGAGAGCTCTCCAGCGTCTGGATAGGAAGGAGGCGAGACAGAGGGAAGGGCATCCTAGGAACTGTACAACTGGAAGTCGGGTCCTCCAACGGGTGTGGAAAGTCAGGAGTGGGGGAGGGCAGAAGCACCAAGGCCCCTCCCCACACTATTTGCACACCCTGGGCCACACACCTGTGCAAACATCCCTCGCTGCCCTCAGCTTGCCAGACAGATGGAAGAGGTGGCAAGAGAAAGCTTTCATCCAGTCCCTCGCCAGCCTCCAAGTTGGGGTACCTAGAGATCAGAGTTCTTACTGGCAAATTAAAATAGAAATTTAGAAGGAAGGAGAGAATCATGGCAACAACAATACTGATCACTACTAAGTGCCTGGCTTGTGTTGAGGCTCTAAATTCACTACCTCTTCCAGGAAGCCCCATGGTGCCACTAGGAAGAGGAAGACTGGCCAGAAGTCAGCCCCCAGTTCAGCCTCTTCCTAGCTCGAGGACCGAGGGAGGGTGAATCAGTTGACTCCATCTGGGCCTTGGTCTTCCCATCTACGATGTGGGAACAGTAACACCAATCTGAAAGGATTGCTGTAATTAACCCACATGAGGGCATGTGGCAGGGAATGAGAGCCCTGCAGGCTTCGCCTTGCCACTGGGGACTATCATTATTCCTCTCTCAAAGAGGAAGAATTTGAGGTTTGGAGAAATGAGGTCACTTGCCCACAGTCACAGAGAGGCAGAACTGGGATGCAGACCCAGGTCGGCTGATTCCTCAGCCCACGTTCGGAAGCACCAGGCAGTGCCAGCAGCGACTCTGCCAAGGCGCTGCACTCTGCAGGTTACATGCCTTGTCTGGTTCAGTTCAGCCACCCCTGTGCTACTCCTGCTCAGGCCTGAAACAGTCGTGAGTCCTCTCTGACCTGCCTCTGATTCCTGTGACTGAGGGAACTGAAGCTCAGAGAGGAGCAGTGACTTGTCCAAGACCACACAGCGAGTGACCTCAAGCATTGCTGACCCACTGATACCCAGACACCACCAGACACAGACCAAAGGAGCAAGTCCCAGCCAGGTGGGATGGGGAGGCTGGCCGAGACCGAGGTGAACCTTGGAGGGAAAGTCTGCAGCCGCTGGCTCGGGTTCACTTCTTTCCTGCCTTGAGGTTTGCTGCGCAAAGAGCTGGGGGAGGAGGGGGCAGCTGCAAGGTGCTGCAAGACTGCCTCGGCCTCTTCTGAGGGTAGCTGCGGCCCACCTGGAGGCCCAGCGAATACCGGGGATCACCGGAACAGCACAGGCCCAAACACAGGAACCCGTTGAAAGGAAAAGGCGCTGCAGCCCTCCCTGCAGGGCACTGGACTGGGGAAGAAGGGACAGCCTATGCCTCACAGAACCGGGCTGGAGGGTGGTGGTTGGGAGGACTGGGTGTGTTTCAGCGTCTGTGCGTGTGCAGTTGGACGTGCAGTGGGGGCTGAGGCGAGGGGGCCTTTCCCCACCACAGTGACCCCCACACTTGCTTGCTTGCTTTACCAGCTCCCCTTAACTGAGCTCTGTCTCCCCTCAAAGAAGAGGGCACAACCAGAAATAAGTGCTTTCCATGGATTCATGAATCAAATCCTTACAACAAGCTTTTGAGAGCTTTTCAGATGAGGAAATGGTGGCTCAGAGGTGAGCTAACTTGCTCCAGGGCACGCAGCCGATGAGTGGTGGGGCTTGGACTTGAATCCACGCAGTCTAACTCCAGAGTCCATGCTTTCCACCTGCTGGACGGGCTAGTAGCTTCCACTCCCACTCCTCACTGCCCTCCCTAAACACTCGGCCCCCATCTGCTTCCCATCAAGAGCCTGATTTTGACACCAGCTCTGGGAGAGGGCCCCAGCTTTCTACCTCCACCAGTGGTGTCCTGGGGGTGCTCCACCCACCAACCAGGCCCCCTCTCTTTTTGCTGGCAGTACCCCAACCTGGCTTCTCTGTAGATCCTCTGGGCTGGCTCATGCCAGGAGGTGAGACCCGAACACCCTTTGTGATCCCCCTAATTTGAGGGCTAGAACACGAGTGGGCCCCAGCTAGAGAGGTGGGCGAGGGTGTGAGAGGCCCCATCTAGGAGAGGCGGGGCTGGTGTGTACCTTGGCAGGGGACAGCAAAGTGGGAGGCAGCAGTAGGAGGGGAAGGGCGGTGGAGGGAGCCCAGACCCACAGACAGGCAGGCTTGGGCCCTCTCTGTTCTGTTCTTTCTCACATAGAATACACAGAGGTGCCCCCCCCCTCCACGCTTTCTAGATAGCAGTTAATCTAAAAACATGCCGGCCCTCCTCCCCCTGCATTCACTGCCTCCACCACCTCCTCTGTGACTGTGGCACTGGCCTCTCTGAAGACTGGTTCCAGCCCCTGCCCCTGCTGCCCCCCAATCACCAGCCCCTAATTACAGGTCCCAAAGGACATGTCTGACACCTGATTCTGGGGCCTCCTTGGCCTTCTAGAAACACTCTGCCTTTGCTTTCTGAGACACTGGTCTCTTGGTTTCTCCCCACTTCCCCACTGGCTCCTCTTATAACAAGCCTTTTGCTTGTACATGTTCCCCACATCCTGGCTTGGGCTGCCAGGTCTCCCTGAACCTCTTTTCTGAGCATGGACCCTTGCGTAAGTCAGTCTCTGTACCCTGCAGATTCCTAATCTCTGCCCTGAGTGCTCACTCCCCCTGGGCTCATGCAAATCAATGCTCTGAACCACCACGCCTTACCAGAAACCTGGGCACTGTCCTTGATTGCTCCTTCTACCAGGCTCCTCACCCCCCTCACTGAAACCCTGTCTATCCTGCTTCCTTAATTCCTCTCACACTTGATTCTTTCTCCAGTCCCCACTCTCCACCTCTTTGCCCAAGCCAGGATGGGCCACCTGCTGGTGTCTGTTTTTATCTCCACACAGGAGGTCTCTTTCTATAGCACAGTTCTCATCAATCACCTCACTGTGCTGCTCCGGAGTTGTCTGTGGCTCTCCATTTCCTTGAAGGTGAAGTCTGCGCAGTTTCCACAGGGCCTGGGAGTGAGCACACAGGCTTTCCCCTCAAGGCCGACTGTGCCTCTCCCGGCCTGCCGGAGCCTGGTTCCCCTCAGCCTAGGTTGCCACCTGCAGAGAGAGAACCTCGTGGACTCACTGCTAGGGTCACAGCCCTGTGCTGCCCCTTCCCGCACTGACCACACCTCACCCTCCAGCTGCTGGGTCTGGGTCGCTCTGAAGCCTATAGCTCAGGCGGGCTGGGGCCGCGAACACCCTCTGGGCGCCCGCACTGGCACTAGCCGGCCGGGGTGTGCGGGGGGGAGCAGCGGTGTCTCCGAGGGGTGGG